TTAATATCTCCCATGAAATGGCAGGAAGTTGGATTTGAGCAGTAATCAATACTTCGAGTGAGGGTGTTCCTATCAGTCTAAGAAATGTTCATGCAATCTGGCATAATCTTGGTAGCCATTCACTGGTAGCCTTGCAATTTAGAGAGCATAAATGTAGCAAGTTATATGGATTTTCTGATTTTCATTCTAATTTCATTCTAAGTATTGAGAAGTATAGTTTGGGTGGGGGTGGGTTTCATTTGGGAAAATGATTCATTTTATTATCAAATTATTAGCCTCCAAGGATCCATGGGATTGGGCATCATACAATGACATAAATAAATAAATGTTGATTGCCCCCAAAATATGCCCAGTAAATGCTGTCTCAGTAGAAACAATATCCAACTATAATATAAAGTACATTGGGTTAAATCCAAAAGTTGCATTCCACTGATGGAAATGCTCCTTCTTCTATGGAATTTTTGTGTTGAATCCAATTTGTGTACATCAATTTTACATATGCACAAAGTGATGAGTTTTGGGGGGAGAACAATCTAAGAAAAAGCTATGTCACTTAAATAAGAAAAAGTTATCAATATTTTATGAAAGATGCAATTCACGCAAAAGTTCCACTGAAAACTCAACACTGACTGAATGTATGCATTAATTTAAATGAAATTAGAAGCATAAATTGTATTATTTATACTTCTTCTAAGAAGTAATTACCACTTATTTAATGGGAGTTACTGCCAGTTCATTGGACATAAGAAACATTAGCTTGGAAAGGCTCATACTGAGCTAAACTTAATTAAGAAGGGAAGGGTAATTTATCATATTTATAACCCACACATTCCAGCAAGTCTACTATGACAGCAAACAATAAAGATAACAATACTTAAGAAATCCAAAATTAATTATTTTCAAAAGCTTCACAATAACTATAAAAGCTATATATTGCAACACCCAACAAATCATAATGTTTAATGTAAAATGTAAAAATATAATATATTTATATATCAGCTGTATTAAAAAAAACTACTAGAAAAGGAAGAATGAGTAAGTTTTTAGACTCTTAAAAGAAAGCAGATATGGAGGAATCTAGACTTCATTCAGTCATGAACTCCGTATGTATGGTTTCATTACTGAGAAAGCCCTTTTCCCAGTCAAGGCTGACCGGTCAGTACCAGCAATAAACCCTTTAAGGTCAATATGATTTCAGTCTGGCAAAAGATGCTGTCATACTGTGCCAAGGAAATTCAGCATTTCCAATAGCATATTATTTCTTCAAGGAGAAGAAACACCATCTAGTGCAGCTAAGATATCAGCCATACCATAAAAAAGGAAAAATGGAAACAGGTATCCTGCATGGCACCCAGCCCTACACTTTCTTGCAATCAGTCCTAGAAGTATGTTAAAAAGCATGAGGAACACAATAAAAACTGTACAATAATATAATCGCTTCCCAAAACTGTCAAGGATACCACAGTCAACAGTATGAAAATCTGCCAAAGCATTCAAGATTAGAAGAAAAGACATATTACCCTTGTCACACTCTCTCAACACATTGTCCATAAAGGTGACTACCACTGTCCATGTGCTCTACTTGGGCCTGAAAGCCAACTAAAATGGATCTAATGAATCAGCTTCAATCAGATGTGGCTGAAGCTACCTAGCTATCATTTGTCCAGTCCCGTTGACCAGAAGTGACAAATTCAAAAATGTCCTGTATTGTCAAAAAGCAATGGTCCTTTCAATAGGAAATATATTCATAGCTATAGCACTAGCCCATCTTCATAGCTACAGCACTACCTCCTCATTGAAATCAAGCATATTATCTCCCTTAAAAGATCCCAGAGCCAGTCTCAGCCAAGAGAAACATCTAAAGTATATGAACTCATCAGCATCCTGCCCATGTGTTCAAGATGGAAGGAAAACACAGACTTTCTTTCGACCACAATTTATTCATAACTTGCACTTTGCTCAGGTTGACATTGGTCTAAACAACCACTTCCCTCTGTTCTAGAGAGTGAGTCAAGTGTGTCTTCCTGGTATGATGTTCCAGTCCTCAGGGAACTGGAGATAAAACAAAATTCCAGTGAAAGGATACTTCCATTCTACTATACTAATGCAGGCTCTTCGGAGTGGGTTATTGAGGGATAGACAGAAAAGAGCACGGGCTGGCCGACTATTAGATGTATTACCCTGTTTTTTGCTCTTGGCATATTGCTGACGCTTTCTTTGGGACAGAGATCCTACAGGTTGAGCTGGGGTAGTGCTCATGCCTTGGGCAGCCTTAGCTTGTCTAGCAGCATCAATTGCAGCTTGCCAAGATAGCACCGTTTGCTTGGTAGGTGCTGAATTGTTCGGCTGGAATGCTGGGCTGTCACCAGGAAGAGGAATTCTGGTGCTATTTGCATAGCTTGCTTCTGTGGAAAAACAAAAGGGAAGAAGAAAATTAATTTGAACTTTTTCTGCAATAATCCAGTTCTTTCAAACTTCTTGAAAAGACTTAGGTTTTGGTGAAATTTGAGGCCTTTACTTTTAAAAAAAGAACAAAAATCAACAGAACCTTGCTACATAAATTAAAAGATTCAGGAAAAAGTACCACAGGCATCTATATACAATGCTTTGCAAAGCTAAGAAATTTCCCATTTAGATACATCTTTAATAAGCTGAACACAGTCTATTTTAAAAGCAAGAGGGAAAACATTCCAATTTCTTTCTTCCTTGGAATGTTAAGTATTCATTGTCTTAGAATCAAAAAGTCAATCCAACCCACCCTGCTCAGAACAGGGACTCAAATAAAAGCATCTCATTAAAGGGATCTTCTCTTGCTCTGAATATATGAGCAAGCATTAGATATTCACCGATGTGTAATATTTCTATTTCTATGGAAACTCAAATGAAATAGCCAACAAGAAATATTCTGCTAGAAACATGATTTGCAATATTCTTTAATATATTTGATTATTAAATGGTACTTCCATAGAAGCTAAGACATTTAATAGTGAACAACTTGTTCCACTGATTTCAATGAGGCCACTCCTGCCACCATTGAAATCTGGATTCACTAATCTTGCTTACCCACTACATATATCAAAATGAGAATTATGAATCCATGCACTTTGGTTGACATTATTTCTGGTTGCTTGTTCTTTTTCCAAGTGGCAATGTCTTTTCTTTGGCTTCCAAAACACAATGTGAATTCAGAATCTGACAGTCTCTCTACCACATCTCAACTTTAGGAAAGGGATAGGAGCTTGTCTCTTCAAATTGCATTTTGAGGTTTGGCTTTAGGAAGGGTAAACTCAAAACCAAGTGAAAGAAGAATCAACAACATAGGGAAACAATAATTGGGGTGACTAAGTTTGTAAATCTGTGGCCCTAAGTTGCAAAATGCCAATTATTAAGACAGATGGGGGATATTGAAAATATAACTATGAAACAGAATACAGATTTTATCCACACTGCAATACTGGGCTGCGTACAACATTTCACTTTCCTGCCCTACTTAAAACAAAATGGCAACCACAGGGCAGAAAACAAAGGCTCCTTCAAAGAATTATGAGATCATAAAGGAGATCCCACTTGGCTGTTCCTGATAGTTAAGCAACTAAAGAAACCAAAGAAGTTATTTCTGTACTTTGTTAGCAGTGTGTTACGTGATCCAGAAATTGTCTCACTTCTCTTCTAACAAATCGAATTTAGAAGCCAAAAACAAATCACAGGTAGTCCTCAACTTATGACAACAATTGAGGCCAAAATTTCTGTTGCTAAGTGAGACAGTTGTTAAGTGAATTTTTCCCTGTTTTATGACCTTTCTTGCTTCAGTTGTCAAGTGGATGACTGCAGTTGTTAAATTAATAACAGTATTGTTAAATGAGTATGATTTCCCCATTAATTTTTCTTGTCAGAAGATTGCAAAAGATGATCACATGACCCCTGGACAGTGCTACCATTATAAATATGAATCAGCTGTCAAACATCTGAATTTTGATCACATGACCACAAGGTTGCTATAACAGTCATAAGTGTGAAAAATGGTCCTGAGTCACTTTTTTTCAGTGCCATTGTAACTTTGAACAGTCACTAAATGAACTGTTATAAGTCGAGGACTATCTGTATGGCTTGGAGCTGTCAAAATTCCTGGATCACAGTTTACACTAACAAATGTGAGTCAGCAGGAAAATCTTGACAGCAATGATAAAGTGGTGGACTTCACTGCAATGCTTACGTATGATCTTCCAGGATTCTTCTGAAGTCTATTGTGCTTGTAACATGACATGCAAAAAAAGGAAAGAAGGAAGGAAGGAAGGAAGGAAGGAAGAAGGGAAAAGGAAGGAAAGGAAGGAAGGAAGGAAGGAAGGAAGGAAGATCACTGAAATCTGTTTCTTTCTCTTCCCTTCCTCCTTAGTGATACTTGATTTTTAAGATTAATACTCTGAATGTAGCCGAGTCTGGAAAATGATTCAATCCAAACGTGATCTAACAGTGAATGAAAAAACAAAGTTAAGAACATTATTTTTGGAGAGTGGGGAGGTAGTTATCCAATATGAAGTTTTAAAACTCTCATTTTGAACAACCCTGCATCTAAGAACAAATTATTTTTATTCACTACATTGTTATCTTATCCTTCTTCAGAAGTGTAAAACATCCTGTATTACTGAATCTCTAGGCAATTGGCTAGTCCTAAAGATAAAATTAATAAATCAAGTTATTTTCCTGCTCTGTTTTATATCCATAAAAATACTGGAAGGCAATGAATATGTGTAGATCTGAGCCTGTGTCAGTCTGTTTGTAGTTCAACACTCAAACCATTATCCTACAACAGAGGTTCTCGTTGGTGGCACCTCTCCCCATTTTAATGACTAATGCCAGATTGAGTATTTTCAGCTGAGAGATGGCTAGAAAGACAGATGGGAAAAGAGCTGTTCTTCCACGTGTGTGCAGTGAGGATGTTTGGTATTGCTGTGTAAATAAGGTTGCTGCTTATTTGAAAGTACGTCAATCTCTGGACAAATCCATATGTCCAGTTCACTCCAATGTGAGCACAACTCACCCACCATTTCCAGAGGATATGTCATCCTCAACCCACCCCTATGCAATGCAACCTCCAGCCATGTTTTCTGGATTTGTGTCAAAAACTGTTTTTCATCTGCATTGCTTCTGTCCATGCTACCTGGTTTGCATGCTTTAAAAAGCAAGACCCTTCTTCTCCAACCAGCTGTTGTGGCCCCTGGTGAGAATGTACTCTCAGTCAGTGTTTTTGCCGCTCACATTATCATTTTTGTTATCAAGGTTACAGGTGAAAGGCTGAAAAGCTAGACTTGCTTCTCCCTTCCTCCCTCCCTTCCATTTATCAATGAAATTGAGCAAGTTTAAACTACTTTGTTTTTGTTTGGTGAATTTCTGTCACTTTCCCCTTCTATCCAAGTAGTGACAAGAAAATGGTAACACTGATTTTTTACATGATAGTGGTGGGGTTGGCCAAGGGCAAAAGTGGACCTATCAATCAGAGGTTGTGGTAACAACAGTCCAGATCAAATATTTAGCCATCAGCCAAAGCAGTGCATTGGTTAAGACAGGGTTGTCCTAATTCACATTCATTTCTACCTAAATTACAAGCAAGATACATGCAGTTAAAAGCTGCTGAAGTAAAAAAAAAAATAAAGGAAGAAAAAAGCATCCTGAGTCTTGTGAATAAAATCTGTAAATGTTTTCTACGTGATTAATTCTTTGAATATGTAATCCATATTATGACTCCACTAGTGGCCTGTGGTTTGGCATACATCCAAAAAACACTTTTCTGTGTTTTGAATTCTTATTCATATTTTCTGGATTTACAGTCTGCAATAGTAATTGTGGAGAACTTTATTACTGTGAGTTGATCTACCTAGCCAAAGCACTACAGAAACAGTTACAGTAAACTAATTATTGAACTGTTAGATACATTTTGAAGTTAGTAATACAAAACCAGGGATATACAAACTCTGAGCTAAGAAACAAAATGTAGAAGGAAGCCTTTCAAAGCGTTAATACAGAGTATAGAACCATAAAGAAGCTTACAGCTAGTTTCATGTAGCAACAACATTTGGAACCAACAACTCAGTCATTAATTTATTAAGTGAAGTCTCTAGTAGAACTGTGACTGTGCTTATGCTCTTCAACTTTTCTTTTCTTTGCAGAAATGCAAAGGTCATAAATGTGAGGACTGGTCATAAGGTTTTTTTTCATCACTGTTAATAGCTGTAAATGAGTAGTACCTGTACTACAATTAAGGGCCATGTTGAAAGTGTTTTTGTTCATTTCATCTCTACTAGTTTACTAATAGCACCTTTTAAACACTTTTTTTTTTACCAATTATTTATATGCTGCCTCTCACCCAAAGCATTTCCAGGTATTTACAAAATTAAAAATACATTTAAACATAATAAATGAATATAGAGATACACGGACTAAAATAGAATAACAAACACATCATACAAAAACTGTCACAGCTGAACCATAATGTCTTGAGTCACTGTCTTAATTTGGCTTTTCTGTGACATTTCACTTATATACTTCTACAAGTGGCCTGCCACTTAACTTAAAACAAATCCTACATAAAATGCTAAAAACAATAATAATGAGATGAGTGATGAAACTGACATAATTATAAATGCAGAAGGATTCTCAAAGTTACAAAGGAGAAATGACAAACTATGTGAGGGAGCTTTAGTAATGCATGCATGTATGTATGTATGTATGTATGTATGTATGTATGTATGTATGTATGGTATTCAGCTTTGTTCGGGTATTTTCCCACGTCATCATAGTTATGCTTTTAAAGTTGTAACAACGTTTCCGCAGAATCTCATCTGCCATCATCAGGCTTCTGTATTGTGTTCGTCTGTGAGTCAGACTTTTACACTTGTTTCAGTTTTAAATTTGGGGCTAGCCTACTGCTGTGCCAGAATGGTTTTTCTTCATCCTGATTGGTTGGGAGTCTTGGTCTGTGTTTATTGGTCTTGGAGTTAGCTGTGTTCTGCTTGATTGGTGTTTCTAATGTCTTCTGTCTGTTTTGTGGCTTTTTTCTGTGTCTTGATTGGCTGGCAACATTGTGTTCCTGTATTGGAGGCTTTTAGTGAAGCTTGGCTCTGAGTAAATGGACGGCTATCATTTGTTAGGAAGCTAGGTTTCATCTGGGTGCCTGGTTGGGGTGTGTTTGAGCTGGAGGTATCAGGGGGGATCTGTTTGTGCCCAGGTGTTTGCCTGGCTAGTGGTGTGGAGATTTTTTTGTTTGTGAGTGTAGGCTT